GTATACACTTGGTAGCAACCTTTTGACCAGCATCTTGAAAATAAAAACGCATCACACCGTGGAAAAGTAAATTCTGTTCAAAAAAAAAAAATAAGAAAATTAAAACAAACACGTAAAAAACAGAAAATTCGAGTAATACACATACCTCATCTGGTTCGGAAAGGGCAAACAAATCTAAACGATTTGCATTCCATTGTTGTATAACAGAACGTACAGCTTCACGATCCAACATTTTTTTGTTTGTATCATGAGACATTCTTTACATGCAAACAACAAAAAATAAAATTTTAATGCGTTCGTTCCTTGAAGAAACACATTAACAGCGATTATTTTTCTTATATAATTTCCCAAAAAAAATCCAAATTCTTTATATGTTTTAAGCTGAATCTAGAAAAGAAAGAAAATGAAAAAAAATATGGGTTAAAATTTTTATGTTAAAAAATTTACTTTAATTACATCGAAGTAATTATAATACAGAGAGACGTGTGTATAATTTTTAAACAACTTCCGTCTTTTTCTTTTAGTAGAGTTTCATATTCTATGTTGCTTTTTGAGAAAAATCACGCTTCTATATTCCACAACTTTAACAAAGAAGAAAAAAACTGCATTTTATGTTGTTGGTGTTGGCAAGAAAAAACAACATAATTTCCTTTACTTGTGCATGATTTCAAGTAATTTAAAAATTTTCTTTTCAAATTCTTAAAAGTAAATAAACAAAATGCATTTTCTTTTACTATAATGTAGATGTAGATTCCAGTAAATCATATAATAAGACAGCAATAGTTTTTTTTTAAATATTATTTTATGATTGAACTTTATTTGCTTTGCTTTGTGGACTCGCCTGAAAAAGTTTTCGATTTTTATGTTGAGGGTGTGTAATGAATGCTGCCGTTCAATAAACTATATAAAATTTAAATTTGTATTTTTTTGTCTATTAAAATGTCGTAAAAATGTACAACATAAATAAAAACATAAATTATGTTTAAGATCGATCATAAAGACAAATTATGGGAACTGAAATACATTTTATGAAAACATGTAAAAATTTAGTTTTAAAAATTGTATATATACGATTTATTGTATTTATTTCATATGAGAGGTTCTAAGGCCCCCTAATGAAAGTCCGCCTATTTTTTCGCAAAATGTTCGCATGGATGTTAAAGTTCTTTGTGCAAAGTTTTAATACTCCAGCTCGAATACTTGCACAGATAAACGGTTTTCAAATCGAAGGTGCCACGCCCTCTACTGCTAGTGCGCCAATTTATTACCCAAATGTTCACATAGAAGTCAAAGTTGTTCATACAACATTTGAGGATTTTAGCTATAATAGTTTCTCAGATATACGAGTTTTAGTATTTAATTCATAAGAGGGCTTTTAAGACCCCTCCCCCTAATGAAAGTCCGCCCGTGTTTTCCCCAAAATATTCGCATGGATGTTAAAGTTCTTTGTGCAAAATTTTAATACTTCAGCTCTAATAGTTTCTAAGATAAATTAATTTTTAATTTAATTCATATGGAAGGTGCCACGCCCCCTATTGCAAGTCCGCCAATTTATTACCCATATGTTCACGTAGATGTCAAAGTTCTTCGTGCAATATTTTAATACTGCAGCTCTAATAGTTTCACAGATAAATGATTTTTAAATGAGAGGTGCCACGCCTCCTACTGCTAAATTTTAATAGTCCAGTTGTAAGTTTCTCGGATAAAAGAATTTTTTATTTAATTCATATGGAAGTAGCCAGGCCCCTATAGCCAGTCCGCCAATTTATTACCCAAATGTTTACATGGATGTAAAAGTTGTTCATGCAAAATTTTTTATATGGGAGGTTCCAAGCCCTCTAGTCCGTTCATGTTCACCCAAATATACACCTGGATATCAAAATTCTATGTGGAAAATTTGAAGATTCTAGATCTAACTGTTTCCCAGATAAACGAATTTTAGTATTTAATCCATATTATGGGAGATGTCACGCCTATATTTCTATTCCGTCAACTTTTCGTCTAAAATATTCATGTTGATATAAAAGTGTCTCTGAGAAATTTTGAGGACTCTAGCTGTTTCATTTCCTCAGATATACAAATTTAATATTTTCTTTATATGGGAGGTGCCACACCCATTTTGTCCCCATATGCTAATATGGATGTCAAAGTTGTTCGGTACAAAATTTGAGGACTCTAGCTGTTGCAATTTCTGATGCGCTTGACTGCCGATTTATATTTGAACCTTTTTCCCTAAAATTCTTAAAAGTTTGATCACAACTATCAAGACGAAGGAAGAGGTTCATAGAAATATATATTTGGTATGACAGGTCTTATTAAGTCCTCAACCAAGAGAGCTGATTACTATCCCAATCAAAACGGAAATCAGCCATTTCAAAATTTATCGATAGGGTTAAATACCTAGGAGTAATTCCTGATTGAAAACTGAAATGAAAATACCACATAGGACCGATTTCCATATCTTAAGTGAAGGTTGAAAAACATTACTGTATATTCCTCAGGTTGAAACGCATGCAGTATACGAGCCGGCTCTCGATTACAGGACACGTCCTTAATGTATATTGGATATATTTTATATACAAACTTTTGATGTACCCAATCGCATTCCGGGAAGAGAAATTGTCAGACATTTGGTTCCAGATGGGATAGAAGAGAACATTAACGCAAAACTTTGAGGGAATCTCTTGATAAAACGGGCTTAGGGATCTATATTTACAGCCCGAAATCGATCCTAGCACCCAGACAAAAGTTCTTACCCGATCCAGACAGTTTAGATGTACCCGATCGTATACCAGAGAGATAAATTGTCAGAAATTGGTTCCAGATAGGAGATTATGAGAGCACTAAAAACCTTTGCGGGAATCTGGTAACAAAACGGGCCTAGGGATCTATATTTACAGCTTGGAAACCGATCACAACACTAGCATTCTGACAGAAGTTCTTGCCCGATCCAGACAGTTTAGATGTCATCGCATAACGGAAAGAGAAATTGTTCGAAATTGGTTCCAGATAGATTATGGGAGCATTAAAGCAAACCTTTGGGGGAATCTGTTGACAAAACGAGTCTAGGTATCTATATTTACAACCCTAATCACGAAATATTTATATTGAAATGCCGGCAACATATTTCCCAGTAGACAAGCCTCTTATGGGTACCAGACCTCTAGGGATAATTAGCAATTAAAAAAATACATTCACTTTTACTATAAAGGAAAGAGAGTTTGAAGAAGAAGGTTAAAACTGAACAAAATTGGATGACAGGTTTAGGGTAATGCATAGAAGATGATGAGGATAGGGAACCACTAGAAACTTTCTTTGACATTGCAACAACTTCGTCGAAATAAGAATCAAATATCTTGTGGAAAATTCTAAGGAACTATATCCAGGATACTAAACTTCTGAACATTGGGCAATCATTATTTTCACAGATCGCTATATAAGGGTTTAACACAAACATTTTCCACGAAAAGGAAGTTACAACAGACCTGGTAGCGATCTAGAAGTATTTATCGGATCTAATGCATCATTCTTTCAACCGAACCTAAGTCCTTCACTCCTCACATTCGAACTATTGGCGAAGAGCTTGAATGTATAGGACATGTTAGTTGGTCCTTCCTCTGACCTCCCAAACACCCTATGAAAAGTTGTAGTTCTGCAAAATCACCTAGTAGCGATCTAGAAGTATTTATCGGGTCTAATGTATCATCCTTTTAACCGAACTTAAGTCCTTCACTCCTCACATTCGAAACTATTGGCGAAGATCTTGAATGTATAGGATATGTCAGTTGGTCCTTCCTCTGACCTCTCAAACACCCTATGAAAAGTTGTAGTTCTGCAAAATCATTTGGAAATTGAGACCTATTTGGATGGTCCATGTTTCCCAAGTTCTTTCTACCCATTTTAACTAGAAGATCTCTAGATAAGCAAATATTTAGATTTGAAAACCCGGTAATCAACAAAATTTTTCAAAACCATTACATTATATTCGTTGGGTAAAGTTTTATTTAAAGCGGAACTAGTTCAGAAATTTTCATTTGATACAGTTGGAGAAATTACTATTAAATTTTGTTTACATAAACTGATGTAAGTTTAGATAAATTATGTATTTTAAAGTCTATTTAATAACTTTTTCTAAGGTGTGGTAAAAGCAACTTCAGTCAAATACCAATCATTAATCATTATTACCTAGAACTTTACTATATAGCTTTCTTAAAGCTGAACCCCAAAAGCGGAACTATGCTTGAGTCTACTTTAAATATTTACCAAAAGAATAAAGTTGTAACCAGCAAAACAGAGGGTTAAATACCTAAGAAAGATGTAAAGAAATAAAGAAAATGAAATTTCAATTGTTAATTGTTTAAACAATTTCTTAAACAAATTGTTAAACTCAGAACTGCAAGAAACTAAAGAAAACAGCAAGGAAAAGTTTTGAGAACGAATGAATGAAGACAACGACAACATGGATACGCTTTGCTGATTATTGTCAGTTACAAAAAGTCAACAGCAATTTTGTTTAGACAACTAACGTTTTGGTTGTCTTTGCAACACATCTGTCTTGAGCTTCTGCTATTGCTGGCTGGTTGGTTGATTGTCTCTGTGTACTCAAGGTACAACATTTTTTTACGAAGAAGTTTTAAACAAGAAAATGCGTTAAATTAACTAACTAATGTTGACGACAACTTTAACTAAAATAAATGGTTACAACAAACGTATAAAGTTGGTTGATTTTCAGTCAAGCAAAACGAACCGTAAGCAGCAAAAATACATAAATAAAAAAGGAAACAGTTAAATTTGAAATTAAAACTAACTTAGACAAAAAAGGGGGAGGCGAGTTTAAAATAGTTTTAAAATTCTAAAGAAATTGAAGTTGAGCAAAAAAAAATCTTGAAACAAAACTTTAATTATAGTGTCTATATTACTTTTAATGCGAAAATAATTGTTGTTTTATTTCTACAAATTACATATTTTGTCTAAAAATCTAAATAGAGTTGTAATTTTCAGTTTTTGTTTTTCTTCTTAATTTTAAACCGGAACATGTTAAAGACGTGCTTGTTGCTTAAAATATATATTTAAATTTTTTTTTTACGTTTGCCTCAGTTCAAGTGTCTTTTATAATCGGCTTAAAAAAAATCATTTCAACACAAAAAAAAACGCATTTTTTGTTGAAATATTTTGTAGCATTTTGCGTTGGTATTGAAATTGTTACACCTTCGCTGGATTTTTTAATTTAACCTTTTGTGTGTTTGCTTGGTTTTATTGGTGTCAAAAGTCATTTATTGGGTAATTGGATTAGAAGACAAAAATTGAAAAAAACAATCACTAAACATAAGAAAACTATAGTCGATAGGGTTGATTTTAATGAAAAAATTGCATTTTGACAGAT